ACTGCAACTTGAAAATGTGCTTCCGTTTGCGGTTTACTCAAGATTTTGCTCATAACTTAGGGAACTAGTAAAGCTGCCGTTAGATAATATTTTTTACTTATTTTGGTGGTGCCGACTTGTTTAACTTAGGTTAAACGACCTTGGCCGCTTTTCACCTCTCACGTTTTTGGAAGTCAATTAAAAAGAATTAACAACGGACAACCTCATTATAGCTGTAATGTGTTTGCGGTTAATGTTACTAACTCTTAAGTATATTCTATTAGGCCAGAGTCACGATCTTTATCAAGTTATTCTTCAAGTTATATCCATTTTGTAATCATTGGTGATCCCTGCAATCTGATTGGCTCTCAGCACTGTGATTTAAAATATCCTCTTATCACACTGTTTTTTGCTCTAAATCTGATCTGTTCTAAATCGAGTCATTCACGTCCTAGATCGCACCATTTTTTGCTCTATATCGCATCTTTTCTGTTTCGAATACAAAACAAGTTGTAAAAGCCTGTTTGTTTCCGCTTTTCAACAAACCGGCTACTTGATCAATGAAATGTAATTGAACTTCGCGTCGTACAACTCCGGTCTGAAATAATATTTTTGATTTCAAATCTTGTGGCTTGAAATCATCCGTATGATTTCAGACAAAAATTGCACTCCACTCAATTCAATTACCATTACAAATTTGCCAACGACTAAATATGATAGTAGGCGCGTGTTTGAATTATAAAATATATTCTTATAAAAAAAAGAGTGTATACTGCCAGCCCAGCTAAGAAACCATGGACAGAATAACAGCGAACTATAAAGCTACACTGAAGTAGTCAAATAGACATCCGAGTACTTCTCTCCTGCTAGGCAGTGTTTTTTTTTTTTACAGTTTAGCATATATTTTCAATGTGTTTCTCCCAACTTCGGATTTTGTAAAGTATCCCAGTAAATGCACTATAAATGTCAGAAAAAACTCAACACCTTCGCTATTCACCGTTCAACTCAGTATGTTGTTGTTTTATATTAATATTTGGTTCAATCATACACCACCACACCTAAAGACCAAAGGAAATTAAGATTGCACCCCAAGGTATAAAAGGAACTGGCCTCTGACAACTATAGTAGTTCATTAAGACGATCCCTCGCCGTGAAGGAAGTACTTATAGTAATCTTAGCTTATCGGCAGCATAGCCTCCCATCATCTGATGTGAATAATGCTTTTTTTATGACTCCTGGATCGTTTACTGTTCTTATGGCCTTGTTTCAAACCGAGCAAGGCCGGGTACGAATCCGTTAAGTCTTTTTCACCCTCGGACGTACACGCAAATTCATACCCCCACCGCGGTACAAGGGGGAGGGGGGGGGGGGGGGTGGGTGGAACCCCCCCCCGGGGTTTTTGATTTGTGTGAAAAATGTTTTTTTTATGACCCCTGTGTCGTTTTCTTTTCTTATTGCCTTGTTTCAAACCGGGCAAGGCCGGGTACGAATCCGTTAAGTCTTTTTCACCCCCGGACGTACACGCAAATTCATACCCCCACCGCGGTAAAAGGGGGGGGGGGGGGGGGGGTGTGGATGGAACCCCTCCCCGGAGTTTTTGATTTGATGCAGTATTTCGAAACGATTTTACCCTTAGTGAAAAGCCATTGATCTTCTTAACAAGATGAGGTATATTTTATGGGTGGTAGCGCTGCTGGAGGCCTGTGACGTCACCAACAATTGTGGCCATCTCGAATTTTGCCAAGAATTAGAAATCAGGTTTAAACCAAGAGCTGAATAGTAATATTTTGTGCTTCACATGAAAAATAACACATAAATTAGCACTTTGCATGCATGATTTTAGCCACAAGATTTACTTTTATTGTTGAAAGAAGTTGTAAAAACATGTACTTTAACCCCAAAATGGCTTAACCACCTGCTACTTATGACGTCATATCTCGTAACCATAGCAAGTGACCATCACTGAACTTGTCTCAAAAAGTGCGCAAGGGATGAACGAACAGCTACTGAAAACGTCAGGTGCTGATTTTTATCCTATAGGAAAAAACTCAGAAAAACCTTACGGGGAGGGGGAGGGCAGGCATCCACCCCCCGCCCTGTACGTCCGAGGGTTAAGAGACACACAACTCAAGACCCATACAGTCAGAAAGAGCGTATTGAGGTTAGCAAAAATCTCAGTTTGGTGTCAATCGGGCCATTATTGAGATAATATTTAAAAATAAACTTAAAAATTTATGAGAGATATATGGATTACCGGACGCACCGTCCGGAAGTGTGTAATTTCTTGGTGAATTTTGGAGTTTTTGAATCGCTGTATCTCTTTCAATATAGGCCCGATGAGAATGTTCCTTCGCTAAATGTCTGTTGCTAGCCTGTTCCAGGCCTTTAGGTAGTAGAACGCGAGCGAAAAAAATTGACGAGAAAAACAAACAAACAAACAGGAAAAAAACAACGACTAAAAACCGGAGGGAAAAGGTCCCAGTCTCCCCTCGTTGTTCGCTCTCGTTTTCTCCGCGTACGATTAAACTCGCTCCCCACCATCTGAACGCCGCCCTCTGCTATCTGAACGCCTGGAACAGGCTAATCTATTGCAAGAGTATGGTACATCATCTTGAGAAAGTCGCCGTTAAGTAGAGGTGAAGGCAATATAAAAATAACTCGTTGGGAACCCAGAAAAAGGGACCTCGACCGCTTAATACAGGTCAGTTTTACAATAATTAACCGAGGTAAACTATTTCCAGAAAGCGGGCGCGGACAGCTGTTCCGCCCTTACTGAAGCACTTCCTCGTTCAAAAACTTGTCAGGCTCGTTTGTTTGGAGACTCGGATCCGTTGGTGTTGCTGATATAGTTGCGACGTTGAAGGTTGAGACTAAAAAGAACTTTACTTTCTATGTATTGTTTAAAGCGAAGCCAGATATTGTTGTAGAGATTTGTGAAAAAAAAAACAAAACAACAACAACAACAAAGAAAAAAAAAACAAAAACAAAAAACAAAAAAAGACAAAAAACTGCAAAAATAATTGCGCCTTCTTCTTTGTATTTCCATTTTTAATAATTCTTTCACATCACAATCGATTACTTCAGCATGCAGGCATTTTAACTTATTATGGTTTGCTAAGAACAAGCTTCATAAAGATGCTGTTATTCTGTTTATTTATTATGGGTATTTCTTACCATCTCAAAGGGATCGCGTTTTTGCGGTCCAAGTTTTACAAAACTAATGTATAACTCATTCGAGGGGTATATGTATATCATAATATTTATATTTATTATAAAAATGTCGACTGAAACATGTCCGCCCCGATTATTGAAAATGGGATCGGCTGCTCTGAGTGACTGTGTAAAACGCATTTAAAGATTCAAAACTAATAGGAAGAGTTTTGAAAGCTTTTGCCCAAGTTAGGTAATAAGTTGAAATGCACAAAAGACAGCAGTTTCTCTTCAAAGCTTAGCAGGAAAATCTTTTTCGGCCGACGCATGGAGAGCCAGAGATCTAGAAAGCAGGGGGGAATTCCTATTATCAGGGTTCGTAGAGATTTTCGGATCAAAACTTCGAGACTTTTTACCACTTTTTCCAGACTCTTTAGTTTTTAAACTGTTTTTTATTTCCAAGTCTGAAAACCTGATTTGAAAATTTTAAGACTTTTTCAAGAATTTAAGACTGTGCATGATGTAGGAACCCGGTGAAAGACATTACGCTGCATACTATAAAATGTAAAACTCTTCCAGTGGTGGACACGGTAGGGACTGGTACATGACCAAGTGTTGTTCTAAGAGAGTAATCCGCGTACTTGGCCGTGAGGTTGGGTGCGAGACTGGGTCGGTGTTGTGTCAAAAAGATTGGAAAAAGGTAGGGACCGACCAGGGGGGACAGACTCTAGGGGTACATACCATTTACATAGGAAAACCGAAATTTCCGGTTGCGAAAATCACAGGCTAGGGTTCGCGCAATTCCGTTTGCGAAGCTTCCGAAAACAAGGGTTGTGATTTGAGGCCATGCAATTAGTCTGTTCAGCTTCCACCCGCGTGTTTGTAAATGGTAAGTATCCTAGGTATCCGTTTTGCAGAAGTGTCCACTGAGATTGAGTTGACAGTATTATCACGCAGTAAGTAAAATGGATGTTCTCGTTGGAGAATTCGCTTCTACACCTACTACCTATTTCTTTATATCAAATGTCTATCGCAACTGTTACCCCGTAGATATACTCAGGTTCTTTTCTCCAAATGCTCCAAAGATTATTCCAGTGAAAATAATACCAATACCATAAAAAGGTAAGGCCCAGTTCATGGGTCGTCCTTATGCTGTGCCGAACTTAATTCTTGGATGAGGCTCGACAAAAGCACGGCAGAAAAACGACGTCTGAATCAGTTTTGAATTTTTGAGTTCGACAGAACAGGTTTGGCACTGCAGAGGCACGAAATATGAACTGGTCATAAAACATTCTTTGTGACATTCAAAACAGGAGCTGAGAAAACATTGTCGCTTGAGGGAATATTATAGTGACTGAGAAAAATAGTTAGCTCGACACTCGCTGATTGTTAAAATGAAGTTACTGTAACAACTCTTCCCATAAAGCTCAGGTTTTCACTGTTTATGGTTTATGATTTTTCAAATGACAACGGTTTCTCATTCTTGGTATTTAAAACCTCTTAGAAAAGGCAGTGTCCTGTGCACCCCTAAAACGCTAGGTACACACGTTACCCCATATAAAAAGGGGCCAGTCATCTAATTTTACCTTAAAACCCCGACATTCAAAGCCTGGGCTCCTAATATTTAATTTCCTTACTGTACCTATTCTATTGCGTAAAACTGTCGGCAAACGTTCCATTGCAGTTAAACTGTTCTTTGAACTTCAGACAACTCAAGTCTCTTGAGCACGCAATTGCGCGTCCATAGTGTAACAACGCCCAAAGCATGGCATCGCGAGGCCTTCGCCATCCGCGAGTCACGAGTACGAGCTACTCTACGATGAGTACACCATCCCACGATCGAGCACCTAAAGTGTATGTTTTTGAAGGCTTTAATCAGGATTTAGGTTCACTTCGCTGCTATAGGCGTCGTCTCCCCATTCTATATTGTCAAGTAAGGGATCGAATGAGGTTGACTCGGCTAACAGAAGGTTTAGCACCTGTTCTTCTGCTTCGCCCAACGGGTAATTGGTTTCAGACCAACCTGAAAACGAGGCGCCTGTGTCTTGATCACCTAATAAAAGAGATAACATATGAACTGCTTACGGATGAATGCACCAATTTAGAGACGAGAAGGAAACTGGACCCGAAATGAGTGCAGCAATTGTTTCTGGAGTCGTTACTGGGGAACGCCAGTCAGTTATTGGCCAATTTTTTCCCTTCCCCTATAGTAACAGTCAAAGAAGTCTTAGCGAAGGTTACCTGGCTGTCGGGAAGATCCTTGCGTTGCACTCTGGGACAGCATAGCCCGCAGTCCTCCGTCCGTACTGTAGGAAGGCGCAGGTTCCCTAGAGGCTGCCGTATGTTGTTGTTGTTGCCCCGTCGCAGCTACAACTTCTCTCTTTCTTTGCTCCTCAAACATCGCTAGTCTTTGCTCTTGCTGCTGAACTAGAAGTTGTCGTCTTTGCTCCTAAAAAGGAGAATAATGATATTCATAATAACAATAACGGTAATAAAGATGATGATTGTAATAATGACGTAAGTCTTTCGGCCTTTGTTTGAAGTCCGGGCCCTGTTCCTCAAAAGATGGCTAAGTTTATCTCAGGATTAAGCTAAGATTTTGAGCAAGGTTTTCTTGTCGAAGAACATGCAATTCGAGGTTAAAAAATACTGTTGAGCCTTTCCCTCGAGATACAGTAATGAATTAACACTAAGTGTTAGTATGAGCAATACATACGTAGAAGGGTAAAATGCAAAAACGGAACACAATTTTAATCAAAAATAAGCGCAAATCAGCCTTTTCAGGAACAGGGCCCTGCTGAACAACTTGAAGGTTTCATGTACAATCTCAAAATAAGAGCACAAACACATTAGCAGAGGCACTGAATGGTCAAGAGGCAACAACTACTCGGTTATACAGTAGTGGTTTGGTGGAGGGCTGAACGATCAGTTTTAGTCGCATTTACAAGCAATGTTTCATCTTCCTACTTAAGCAGTGAAACAACTGACTATTAACACGTTTGAATTAAATTCATCCCTGCAAACTTGGACAAATTGAGAACCAACGAAGCCACCACAACAACAAAACAACGAGGAGTGAAACAAATGAAAAAAAAACAAAACAAAACAAAAAAACAAAACAAAAAAAAAACCGTAAAAGAAGAGTGAACGAACCTGGTGCAACTGCAACAGCTCCTGTTGCTGTGTGAGGAGGGGGTTATAAAGAAGTTCTTCCTCTTGAAGTTTCTTCTCCTCTTTTGATGCAGGGGAGTTGGAAGCGCCGCTGTTCGTGGGCATCCCACTTGACACGGTTAACATCATGGAGCTTAACTCGTCCGAGGAAAAGTTTGAGAAGTAGTCACTCTTAGACTTTGTGCCCTTGCCCGTTGTGTTGAAGTCGTGCGCAGATCCCATTCGAGGCCGCATCGATGTGGAAGGCAAGCTCCCATAGGACATAAAGTTGAGTGGAGAGGGAGAGTTTGATGAAGATGGAATCGGCGATCCTGTCAGACTGGAAAAGGAGGCATTCCTGGAGAGTCGTTGGTCCACCACCTGCTGCTGCTGCTGCTGTTGCTGCTGCTGTCGTTGTTGTTGTTGCTGTTGTTGTTGCTGCTGCTGTTGTTGTTGTTGTCGTTGTAAAGCAACGCTGTAGCTTGTAGTGGTCGAAGTCACGCGGGGCATTCCTCGTCGTGAATGCTGCACTAAGCCGGGTACTTGCTGCTGCTGCTGTTGCTGTTGCAACAAATGCTGTTGCTGAGGCTGCCGTTGATGCTGATGCGGCGGCTGCTGCTGTTGTGCAGTCCTCCACTGATTCGGGAGCACTGACGGTTGGCGCTGCTGCCGCTGGAAAGTGCTGTCACTGTTGTAAGCATAAGTAGGTTGGGATGCACTCTGAAGCTGTCCCTGGCCACCCGGTCCAACTGCAATTTGCGCCGAAGACGGCTGCAAAGGCTGCGTTGGGGCGGCGCACGGTACTCCCACTTGCGGTTCCTGTTGATTACCTTGGACTTGTTTAAGTAGTGTTGACAATGACACCGCCAGTTGCGGCTGACTCTGAAGCATGGACAACACACTTAATAATACCTGCACGAGCTGCTGGTTCTGTGAGGAATCTGTTAGAAGCTGTGTGATGCTCTGAGCGACAGCCGCATTCACTTGCGGACTTTGCTGCTGCTGTTGCTGACCAAGTAGGTTAAGCGACGCTGCTGCAGATTGTGACAGTTGGCCTGTCGCTAGTTGGGCCATAGCGCTTTGAATCGGTTGTGTTTGAAAAACGCCCGTATTCAGAGCGGCGATTTCAGAATTTTGCTGAGGAAGGCCAATCATTTGTTGCGAAGTGGCATACATTTGACGGGACTGGGGAACATCTGCAGCACCGGGTGCGTATTGCGATTGAATTGGTACTTGTCCGTGGATGGACGGATTCGACTGAATATCAGTGTTACGTGATGGGTCTTGAGGTGGGCCTGGATAGGCTGGCAATGGTGTGCATAGAACATTCGTTGTCTCGGTTGCAGTTGCGGTGCGTTGATTTACACGCAAAAACGGTTGACACGAACCTTGGTTTGTTCTACTTGGTTGTATTGACGGCGCCGCAGCCAAAGAAGATTGCTGTTGCTGCAGTCTTTGCTCTGGTCGTGTTTCTGTGGCCACTGATTGTGGCCACATTGGCCTCGAACAAGAGCCAAGAAGCATGACTTTTTGGCCTCTTGGATCTCGGTTATTGGGTAAACTCCTTTTTGAACCTGATATGTTGCCTTGAATGTCCTCGATGTGAGCTTGCTGCTGCAGGTCCAAGGGAGAGTCCACTGACATTAACTGCAGTGGAGAATCGGTTGGAGCTTGTTGTTGCTGCTGCTGTTGTTGTCTGTCGTTCCCTGCCAAAACTGAGAAGTCAGCAGTGGTGCTCAAAACCTGGTTTGTGACAAGTTCTGATCGTTGCAGCGTGTTGGGTTGTACGCTGGAGCCTACTTCTTTCAGCTCATCTGTTCTCCGGTCCAAGAGCTTCTCATAATGACGCTTGTACTGGAGGTCAGCGCTTCTCATTTGCTCTTCCAGAGAATGAGTAATCGACTTGAGCGTGTGCTCCTGCTCTTCACGTTTTTCAGTTAAGTCTTTATTTCGTTTTATGTATCCAGAACATGTTTCTTGGAGTTTGACTGGGTCTACATAAAGTTGCGATTGGAGATTGAGTATCATCTGCTGCTGAATTTCCTGTAGCTGTGATTTCTGTTTGGAGATGGCTTTCATTAGGACAGTATGCTTCTCAAGCAGCTGATTTTGGAGAAGACGCTGGGCCTCCCTGAAATCTTCGAGTTCTTCAACGGTGGAGGGAAGTTCCTGTGCGACAAAAAACATTTCCATATCACACTAATATTGAAAATTGAGTCTGTACAAGTAGAAATTACAAGGAGTCAAGAATAAGAAGTAGAATTCACCAATAACTTTAGGCGCCATTTTGTTGAAAAAACAAACAAACAAACAAACAAAAACAAAAAACAAACAGATTGATTAACACTCGCCCAGTAACACATCCTAAAATGAACTCGCATCATTTTTGTTCAGTTAGCCCGTTTACGTTGCTTTAACTACGAAATTGTAAAACGTTCCTTTAATTGGTTAACAACCAAAAGGAACAAAGCATGTCTAATAAACACCAACATACAAAAAGGTACATTTAATATCGACCAAAAAAAAAATACGTGTACGTACAAACGACTCTTCTTGACCACTGTCCCTAGTTTCCTTGGCATTACTCTCGCTGCCGTTGCCTTGAATCTCGCTGATGCTGTTCGTGTCACAGGGAGGGACCGAAAGACTCTCACCTTCACGAAAATTTTAAAGTGAAAATTTTATTAGTTTCGCCTATTAAATGACACAAAGAAAAAAAATACATATATATATATATATATATTTAAGCATCAGAAAACGTTTTCCGTGTTTGCAGGCCTGATATAAACACCAGAGGGGTTGGGAGAATTACTGTCGAGAATTCTCCCAACACCTCGAGTGTTTATATCAGGCTACGCAAACACAGGAAAAAAGTTTTCTATTGCTTTTATAAAATAACTTTCCCGCGAAAAAAACGCAAAACTCTTTGTTATGGCACTGATTAAAAGACAAATTCTTACCAGTCGCAAAGTCTTGTACACGAAGTCTTCTACGCGTAATCAGTTCTTGTTGTGCAAAAGGATGCTATTCAAAATACGGATTTTTCTAGCTTTAACTGTCAGCTTAAGGGAAAAAATTGACACACCTTCTTGGTAACGATTTTCCAAGTTTCAGCCGACGGAGGAGTGGGCAAATATAGTAAACTTGTCGAGTTTTTAACTCGAAAACTTTTTCAAATTCGTGCTTGCGTGATTAGCGCGCCAAAAGCAAACATCTTGACGCCACAACCATGTTTACATACTTTACGTACTATCTTAGTTATTTTATAAATAAATATATACTGAACCAAAGAATAATAAATGCCTTATTAGGCAGGGGTGCCACAACAGCGGTAAGCCAAATACAGTGGTACCAGAGCTTACAAAGTATGTAAAAGGTAGTAAAGCTACATATGACGATTTCAAAGAAAACAAAAACAAAAACAAAAATTACAAGACGGACAGATGGTTTTCAAGGAATGGGTCGTAGTTATGTTCTAAGGTGTCTACACAGAACTTATACATGATGGATTTCAATTGCCTAATCTGAAAGCCGCATGAAAGTTCGAGTTCGAGTTATCGGAGAGTTCAAGTTATCCGAGTTCGAGTTATCGGGTCTACTGTATTAGGCTTACCTGTGCCACCGGCCATCAGGGCCCTCTGATTCCCTGCGGGATTCTCCATTAAATCTTCCTCGTCCGCTGAGGCTACGACGTTGTTCTCATCTGCTGCCCATTTGGCTAAAACCATGGCGTTTGCCTCTTGTGGGGACTTTATCGGCGCTGAACGAAGAGCAAAGACTGAAGGACGCTTTTCTTGACTGATTCTTTCAATTGCAACTTCTCGATCTTTAAGTGACTTTGCACCTTCAGCAGCACTGGCGACAAAATGTAGACTGAGTAAGAGAACGTTTACATTATACCGGCGCATGGTTACCCGAGTTACCTCTCTTATAGCTCTGTATTACTTTCTTCACCTGAAAAGGGCTGGCTTAATAGAGGATTGACGGTACTTCCATGTATAGAGGGCTCAAGGGTTGCAATCGACTGTTCACAATACTCTATTTTCCGTAAGACCGTCAGGCTTACTGTTACGGGCGGCCATCTTGGTTTCAAATGCAACAAGGGGGCGGGCGTAGGGTTTATAGCCTCCTCCTAAACCGTCCCGGTACCATAAGTAGATTTGATACTCATCCCCAAGCAAGACTCGTACATTTGAAACTACGATGAGCACCAGAAAGGTAGGTGCTCGATTCCGACCGAAAATTTGGGACTGTTAGAAACCTGGGGTTACAACTACCACAAACCTGATGATTTTAGTAGTACTACAATAGATCTCAGGTTTGGAGTTCCAGTGATTGAAGGAAATATAACTTCTAGTCTTGGCCCAGAGATACTGTCCACTCTTAATCATCATGCGGTAACAATCTGTTTTACTTTCTCCGTACTCCATAACTGCAAAGTGAACAGCCGTGAGTAGCGCGCGTCAAGCCTGGTCTCCATGGTGTCGACTGGATTGTGTCCATCGCCCGAGTCGTCTCGAAGTGAATTCGGACGATCGGGACAATGGTATGGCAGGGCTCTCCAGAAAATTTAGAGAAGAGGGAGAGAGAATTACGTGCCGTATTTCCTGGAATAAGCGCACCGGCTCTTCTTTAAAAGTTTCTTCTAAAAGGAGGGGAGTGTGAGTATTGGAGCGAGGGCACTTAATCGACAAGGTTACTTACTAAGTTTTCCTTTCCCCGAACTAGTGCAACTTCATTTTTGATAAATCTTAACAAAAACAAAAACTACAACATAATCCACGTATAAACGTGATGTCAATATGGTGTATTGATATCTTTCGTTTGATAAAACAGGGGTTGGTAATCAACCGTGCCGTAGTCTTAATATAAACTTGACACGGAACTGTATCGGTTTAAAAAGTTATAAATAAAGTGGAAAGAGAAGCAGGTTTTCCTTGTATCCCTCCCATTTAACGGGGGAGGGGGCGCTTATACAAGAGGGGGGGGGGGGGGGCTTGCGCGATATTTTGACCCCGGGGGGGGGGGGGCTTTTTGGGGGGAGGGCGGTATCGCTATAAATGTTGTAGTTGAAGTTTAAAAAGTTATAAAAAGAGGGGCAACAGAAACAGGTTTTCCTTGGATCCCTAATTTTTAAAAAGGAATAAGGTAAGGGGGGGGGGTATGTAGTGTTTGGTTGTGTTTTTATTTGTTTTTTTTATTTGGAGAGGTTGTGTTGTGGAACAGATGGAGAGTAGTATTAATAAAAAAGGAAGAGAGTGTTAATAATAGGAATAAAAATAAAAAAAGGAGAGGGAAGAGGGGGTGGTGTGCCTGGCGTGCCGGTGGGGGGGGGGGGGGGGGGGGGGGGGGGGGGGGGGGGGGGGGGGGGGGGGGCTTGCGCGATATTTTGACCTCCGGGAGGTGGGCGCTTATTCGGGGGAGAGCTGTATCGCTATAAATGTTGTAGTTGAAGTTTAAAAAGTTATAAAAAGAGTGGCAACAGAAACAGGTTTTCCTTGTATCCCTAATATTTAACAAAGTATAAGGTAAGGGGAGGGGGAGCTTGTACGAGAGGGGGGCAGGGCTCGTGTGATATTTTGACCTAGGAGGTGGGCGCTTATCCGCGGAAATAAGCTATATCCGCGGTCCCATGAGGGGTAAGTATGGAGGGAGGGATCGCCCTGCCTTTCCCCTCAATTCAGTGCGGTGAGAGTATACTGTATAAAGTTCAACTTACGTAATTCGTGAGCTTTGGAATAAACTGCCATGTCATCATGGTGAACGTAATTATAAACCGAGGCACCAAGAACTTCAAAAGGAAGGTATCCTGTGATTGATATCGACCTAAAGAGGGGGAAAAAAAATGCACTCTCAGTAAAGAAAGCATAGGATGTAGCTGTGCAGCTGTAGAATCAAGTCGACAAGGATGCAACCTTGCACAACAATAACTAGCCCTAAGCCCATGTAAGGTAATCCGAAATCCGGAAAATTTTGTTTGCGGAATCTGGAATCTCGCTAACAATTAAACGTGGAATCTAAATTCCGCTGAAAGATACTATACAAGAATCCGAAATCCAGTATCTGCAATCCGGAATCCATGTTGTGGAATTCAGAACCAAAGACTGTCTTGGATAAAGTTACAGGGGGCGAAATAACAACCACATTTACGCCCTCGGGCAGACGTTTAAGGGCCTGTTTACATAGAAGTGGGGGAGCCCAGATAGGTGAGGTAACATGTGGCGGGTCACCCCACCTATTATGTACATGTGATCAAATTAAACGAGAGATTATACGGACAGGCGGGTTACCTCACCTACCTGGGATCCCCCACCTCCATGTAAACAGGCCCTAAATTAACTGAGTACAATAATTATGGGGATTCCCCTTGAAAAGACGGAAATCGACCTCATTGCTTTCGAAAAGGGCTGCACTAACACATCCGCTCTCTGTCCAAAAGGTCAGCAAGATCAAAGACGACAAAGCAGTCAGTCAGTCTGGGATAAGGGTAGTTAATAAAAAGAAACCAATTTAACATTTCCATACTCTGAATGACCATAGAAATGGCGTTAAATGATCAAAACAAGTGCAAACAGAGCCGCAGTAGAAAGGTTTCATAGCAAATGTTTTGAACATGTCGACGTCATTTCTGTGGTCTTTTAGAGTTTAAGTAATTGAAAAGTGTTGCTGTATAATATTTGTTTTTTTGGAAACTTGGCAGCAAACAAACTGCACTGTTATTTCGGGGGGCGCCCTTCAATAAACAAAACAGTCATAATAATCGTGGCTTTAGATAGGCCGAGAGTTTGGGCTTTGCCTTCCGTTAAGACATTGCAGAGCAAGGGAGTTAAGGGGGGACTAAACTTATATTTCTTATCTGGCAGATAACTGCTGACATTTTCAACCATGAAGACCACGGGAGAAATTTCTTCTTTCAAACTTACTTGGGATCAATAAACAGGAATTTTCCATCAAGACTGTGCCGTGATACAAACTCATCTTCCCCAGCCTCACACTCTACCGCTCTGGAGAAACTGGGGCGAGCTATCACCGCTACCCCAACCATGTAGAGAGATTCCACCGAATCCCCAGCGGGTGTAATCGCCTGGGTACCCTGTTTCGCGCCTTGCGTACCTGCCAACAATAATCACCTTAATAAGTAAGTAATGATAATGTAACCGAGAGGGCACCAATTCGGTTTGTGATCATGCATGTGATAAAACAAGCAGGTGTCTTATTTGTTTAATCGTGACTATGATTACACACTGAATTGGACGACATGACGTTAATGGTCGAAACTACATGCGCGACCACCACTTGTGATCCATGCAGTATGCATGACCCGTGTAATACAAGAACGTAATAAATGACCTTGCTCTCCACCAGTCCCTTCCAAGCTCTGTATACAAACAGGCTGAAATAATCTTCATCTTGGCCAGACAATGTCCGTTGACCAACCGTTATTTTGAGCCCCGAGGGCCAAAAGTGTTATAGCTCACCTTTTCTCTTGCCGTGGTCGGACACCTTTTTCATCCAGTGGTCAAAAAAGCCAACACAATGAATGTTTTCATCCCCAGCAGGTTCGCCATCTTTCCCATGCACAAACATGCGGAAGTCTAATGTAACCCGTGATGGATGCTTTGAAGAGATGATACGGGCTAAGCTCTTCGCGGGTATGGGGCAAGCTAAGCTGGTATTCCCTGTGGGTTAAATGTTCTTTGAGTATTTTTCTATATATTTATTGAAATGTTTTGACCTGATAATAACTTACACTTGTACTAATTAAAGCTGGCGTCGAAACATCTTTGGGGGCCATTTCCTACTTAAAATGATTTTACAGCTGTAAGTTACTGTATGCTTTTCTTTTATCTTTTCTTTTTTCAATAGACCTTTTTACCGATATGGCGGCCACATTGAATTAGTTAGATTTAAGGAGTATTATGGGATACCCAGGGGGCATGAGCACATTCGGATATATTCGCTTAGTATTAAGGCGCGCCTTTCAGGGCATTTTTTCCTCACGTTTTTCTAGGATAATATTGTAATGGCAAAAAAGAACGTTGTGCAGTGTTTGGATGTAATGATGATCGCCTTTTTCCCGTGAAATAAGATGTATACAGTGAAAGACCATATTTCTAATATAAAGCGAGTAAAACGGATCGTGCTCATGTCCCCTGGACATCCCATAATACTCCTTAAATAGAATTAATTCAATATAGCCGCTGTATCGGTAAAAAGGTCCATTGTTTTTTTTTTAATATTTGCTTCAACCAATCAGAAGTAGCACCCAGATCTGGGTAGCGACACGTCATCAGAATGGAATTTCTGGGCTCATTCTTCAGACGTCATTTCGCAGGGAAAATCGTTGTTGGTGGCATCGTAAAATGTCGTGGGCTTTTTTCTCAGGCTACTCAGGACGGGTGTCCATGATTGTTTACTCCGATAGAGGGATCATATTTGCCCTCGGCATGAGAACAGTCAAACCTGGCTAAATCCTGTCTAAAACTATGGTTTCTAATGGGTAAAGTTCAGTTTAAACAAGCGCTTAGGACAATACACGTACCCATCTCGTCCGTTGGTGAAGTTAAATAACTTTTGCCTCCTGTAACAAACTCCCTCATTATCCTCTCCCTGTCATCCGGGTGGACTACGTTAAAGATCTTCTTACCAATTAGGTCTTCCTGTTTGATTATAATTAGAATAATAATACTTACAATTTTTTAGCAATAGAAAAAGTTATTTTATAAAAGCAATAGAAAACTTTTTTCCGGTGTTTGCATAGCCTGATATAAACACGAGAGGGGCTGGGAGAATTCGATACAGTTATACAATAACTGCATAACTTGCATAACTGTCTCGAATTCTCCCAGCCCTTCGAGTGTTTTTATCAGGCTATGCAAACACCGGAAAAAAGTTTTCTATTGCTTTTATAAAATAACTTTCCTGAGAAAAAACGCAAAACTCTTTGTTATGGCACTGATTAAAAGAGAAATTCTTACCGGTCGCAAAGTCTTGTACACGAAGTCTTGCATGCGTAATCAGTTCTTGTTTTGCAAAAAGATGCTCTCCAAAATACGGATTTTTGTCGCTTAAAATGTCAGTTTAAGCGAAAAAAGTTGACACAGCTTGTTTGTAAAGATTTTCCAAGTTTCAGTTCGCGAAGGAATGGGTAAATAAAGTAAACTTAACCAGTTTTTATCACTAAAACTTTTCAAATTCTTGCTTGCGCGATTAGCGCGTGAAAAGCAAAACATCTCAAGTCACAACCATGTTTACATACTCTCATGCAAACACTCCTCTCAGCCAGTCAGAGCGCGCGTACTATCTTAGTTATTTTATAAACAATAATAATAATAATCATCATCATCACCATCATCGTCAACACAACAACAACAACAACAACAACAACAATAGTAATAATAATAATAATAATAACAATAATAATAACAATTATGATAATAATAATAATACATGATTTGTTCCACGTCAGACAAACAAATTTCAAGGACTTTTCAAGGACAAACATTACAGGTTTTCAGGGACTAAGAATTGTTCAATAAATCAGCATTCTTTAACCCCCTTTTGAACACCTTATTAGCTAAAACACTTGATGGAGATATACGATTTTTACATGTTCAGCCATGGCTGATCACATTTTCTTATGCTACTTTCCATATCAACACTTCGCAAAATGGCACCAGTCACTGGGTATAACTTGCAGTTGTATCTGAGGTTACAGAAATAGTATTTGAAATAATGGAAAAGAAATAAAACATTGTTTATGCACAAAAATGTTTTTACGTTACCCAAGAGTTTTACAGGTCATTACACCAAGAATGAGCCAAAATTTTTTACTCGGTGAAATAATCTAACTTCACAGAAACTGTTGTGGCATGAACAAGTACTGAATTTCAAGGACTTCTCAAGACCTCATAAAGAAATCAAGATTTCAAGATGACTACTAAAATTCAAGACCTTTTAAAGATTTATGAACCATGTAATAATAATAATAATTATAACAATAATAATAATAATAATAATAATAATATAATGATAATAATAATAATAATAATACTGATAAAAATGATAATCATAAAGACAAAAAAACATAATAATAATAATAATAATAATAATAATGATGAAGATAATGATAATAACACTAATCATAAGTAGGCTGAGTTTGATCGTCTGAGTGAACGTAGTCCTGAATAGGACTCAGTGCTGCTGTTTATGAACAACACTAATGTTGTTTAGAAAGAAAATAAAAAGTACTGAAGCACGAGAAATATCAAGACCTGGCAAGAGAGACTGGTTACTTACTTAAATACATCCTTTGTTGAGGACCAAACAGCTTCTTTTGAATTAGAGTTAATTGAAGAAAGTGTGCAATTTCAAATGATAATTATTGCCATAGATATAGCTGTATGTAGAACTCACTGACTTTTTTGGAAACTCTAATATATACTCCACAAATGGTGCAATTCTTTGTACTTTGTTTGAGACATCTTTGAATTTCTTGTTTGAAGAGAGTATGTATGATTACTGAAAACCTGGGCTGAGCCACTTTTAAACATCTAGTTTGTTAATGGCAAAAAAACAGCTGTACACTGTACACTTCCTGGGTACACTTGTAGAATAAACTCAAACTTGTGTATCTTCATGCCTCACCACAGCTATTCATTCTACAGCTGAGTCAACATCAATGTGTGCACACTGAATTATTAATAATAAATACCATGTACATACCTTTTTCAAGCCAAGGAGATCTTCAATGCTGTTGGAAATAAACACAAACTCTCCACTAGAGGACAAGACAATCAGAAAGCCATTCATAGCCTGCAAGGGGCAGAAAATTATGAAAGAATGACACATAACTCAAAGCAAGAATTACAGTACATGCCTCTTAGACCTTGCCACCAAATCTGTCTGCAGAGTCCAATCCTGCAATTTATTTTAGCATGCTGCAAATTCTTATTAACACAAACACAAGGACGATGTATACAGGTCAAAATAATATTGCAGTACACTCACCTTATCAAGAAGTTCACCAAGTTCTTCACCACATAAAAAGGATGACATCAGCCCAGTTTCATTGCCAAGAAAGGAGAAAGTCAAGTCTGTTTTAAAACGGTACAAATTATTCAGTTAATAATCAACACAAAACATTAATTTATACAGGGTATTGTATTTGTTCTCAGTACTAGCTAGTACTAACAGGAAGGGATGAAATTAAATATCCACAAGCGAGGGCTCACTGTGACAGCTATTAAGATTAATAGAAACAGGCCTGCAGATTTACAAACAGTAAATCACAATATTTGGTTGGAAAAGTGAATATTTCTAAAATAAATTCTAACACCAATTCTTTTTCCCTTTCAAATGATATTAAAGATACAAAAAAGTGACATGGGTTGAAATAAATAAAGCACCACATCCTCCAAAAGACAATGTGACCCACTTAATAATGTTTGTCTTGACTGAATTGAAGAAGACTTGAGCCACTCTTATCATTTTTGAAAACTTGAAGAAAAATAATATATAGATTTAGCCAGGGCTAAAAGCGAAGCTCCTATTAACTCAAACTTATAATTTAAATCAAACAATTGTAAACTTGTATTCCACAAGGCAGTTAACTTTAGAGCACATTCATGTGACTTTTGAGGGAAAGGTTAAGTGATTTTAGAGAAAAATAATTTGCTAACAGTCCCAGCTAAGAATGAACTTAATCTTACATCAAGTTAATAGCTTTATATGTGCACCTAAAAATAGCATAGCCATAATGGTTCTTGATAACAGTACATTAGGCCTGGAAAACAAATTCTTGGAAAACAAATCAGGCCGAAGTTTTTGCGTTCGACAAGTTTACTTTACAAAATCTTGCCAACAAGTCTGAGAACGTGTAAACCAACCTTATATACTTTTTATACATCACATCTGAGGTGAAATAGTACCATGAGACACTGTTTTTGTCATACAGACCTCGGACAGAATGCAGTATTTCACTATTTTGCAATACAAATTGCATTCCTTCAATATTCAGGATGATCGAAGCATTCTTCAGCGAAACCGTTAAATAAATTTCCAAAATCACTTATACGGCGAGCCGGTTCTCACTTTTGACAAGCACCAAAGTCGACTGTTTAAATTAAGATTAATAGAGTTTTACTCCTCAACATAACGGCTTTATAACGATGTGTAATCTTCAAAAGCATTTGATATGCTCGGCATTTTGACTACTCCTGCAAGCGACGTTCATAGCGACTGAAAACAAACAGCACAGCGATTAAAATTGCGAAAGAGACTGCTAACAATTAATAAAAGGAAAATAATTTGGTGAAACATATACAGAGACAACAATTTTCATTCACGAAGACAAGTATTAAAGTGTCTCTGAAAATCCTTGTTTATGTTTTAAGCCTCCTTCCTTTTTTCAGTGTGACCTTGCGTGACCTTGGTGAGAAACGTCAAAAGCAACTGGCATGTCTTCCCTGCCTGTAAAAACTGGCTGAATTTTAGCTTCTGAGGTCAGTTTGAAATCAAAATTTTAATCGTGTGGCACATATAAAACACAACATGTTTCATATGAATTAAAAAAAATAAATTTGAGCCTGCGATCATTTGAAAACTAGTAACTTGTCAGTGGCTAACTTCAACAAGATACTTGACCTCGAAGGGTCAACAACTAAGCCCGCGAAACGGTCAGGTGATACTGGTCAGCGGATACCCTGTTCTAACAGCTGTCAATTGATCACAACATTGATGTGCAATGTGTGCAATATCAGTCTTCCTGTGCTCCCAGACAAGCTAGAAAGTGTGAGATTGAACATTGGTTTTCCTGTGGTGCGGACAGACGGGCGGGTGGGCGGTGTACTGTCATGTGATTACCAAACTTCCTGGGATGGGTAGATTTACTTACCCATGGTGCTTCGCAGGCGCACTTCGCGCGTCAGAGCTCCGCTAAAAAGATATTGCACCTTAATGCTATAACTAAAAATGAAAAGTTTTCTATAAATTAAGCCAACAAAAGTCCCTGAAAAAGTGCTGCCCTCAATAACCATTGCTAACTACAACATGCAAAAAAAGACAATAACAATGAGATAAACATACCATTATTAACTTTCATGTAATTAACTGTCATTTTCAGAACAGTGGTCTTGTCGAGTTTACGCTGGGCACTTGCGCATGATGGAACCATTGCAGCTAGCTCACTGATGTAAATGTTTAGTTTATCTCTCCGTTTTTTCTCACTAGCATTTCTTGAAGATCTGTGAAAAATAATAAAGTTAGTAAGGAAAAGGTGAATTTTAAGTAACAACGTCTACATGGCACACACTTCTATTACAGTGGCAAATTGCAGGGAATAAAGTATTCCTTGACCAAAATACATGTAATATGTAGAATTAGCTAAGGCCAAAAACGAAGCTCTTTTGGGATTTTTTTTTTTGACAAACTAATATCTTTCTGATTTTGTTTTTATTCAACTTTACTCATAAGGAAAAAGCAAACTGAATTCCTCCTGAAAAATGGACCTGATGAGCCTGTGATTAATTGAAAACCAAAGACTGGTCACAAAGAAAAAAAAAATAATATCAAATACTTGTCGGCAAAACATATTTAATACTTATCTTGGCCATTAGACCTGTTTTATTCACCCCAAACGTCCAAATTTATCTTGAAACTTCGTCACTGCAACGAGTAAACAACGTCCCAAAACTACCAGGTGTCTTAGATTAATGTTGCGAAAAACTGGGCACTAACCATAATGTTAATAGCTTTAGCATTCGCTCATTTCTCGAGCAAACTGTTGTTGAAAGAGCAAATGATTATCCCTGTTAAAAAAACAACGTTAAACAACGCTGGTCATATCGACGCAGAATTGATCGATTTTAGCGAAATTTGCCAAAAAAAAATCCAGCGAAATCGGCTGTTTTTTACTGATTGTTTCCTGGCGAAGTTTCCATCCGAAATTTCCCGTGAAATCGGCCGATTTTTCTAAGAATTTGCCCCTGAAAATCCTTCGAAATTTGACTTTTTTCCGCTAAAATCCCGCGAAATCGAATGATATTCCGGCGAATTTTGACTTTTCTCCCGCGAAAATCCTGTGAAATTGGCCGATTTTTCTGCAAATTTGCCCCTAAAAATCCTGCGAAATTTTGCTTTTTTTTCCGTGAAATATCAGAAGCCCGTGTAAAGGGGGATGTAAGGACAAACAGTGTGCACGCAGACAGATGATATTGTCACAACCCTTAAATTTCTTGGATGCATAGATAACCAAATTGTAAAACCCATGGTGCTCTGTGGCACGCACAAGATTTGCTACTAATTTGATTCAAGTCAGAGAAATCCCTATTCAGGGGACAACCTCGCGACCAAAGTAAGTTTCTCTTGAATAGAAGTGTCCCCCGAATAGAGGTGAAAGACTACGGTTTGTTATTGTCCAACAAAGAAAATCATTTTTTAATTCTGCCTTGCAATCTGCTGCCATATTGCGTGATGAATTTCCACAAGTGCAGTACAGCTGTACAGCAGTCCGGAATATCCCTAAATTTAAGGACAGGGCCAACTGGTCACGCGACACTTTTCAACCAATGAGAGGGTGTGCTTGTGTTTATCAACAAACAAATCAAAACATCGCCCCAGTGATAAAAAATTTTAAAACAACGGACGGAGTCGGACAGAATATTAAAGATGAGCTTACAGTACTCGTCTAGGTTTCACATTTAATATTTCAAAGAAAACATTTCATGTAACAGAATAAGAGCATTAATCATTGCGAGGAACGAATCATTGGGGTGTTCTAACTGATTCCGGACTGATCGCATAGGTCATGGCTTCACTGGCATGGCTTGCAAGATTTTTGATGGAAGCAAACTAGTAGAGAGAGCGTGAAAATTTGTTGAGATCGTACAAAACAGGATTGGTACTACCTATTAACTTCTACAGGACAAGAATTAAAGAACCAGTCATCATAACAAGAATAGAAAGTAGTTCAAATTTATTAATTTTTCTTGTTTGTGTTTTGTGTTGTTTCATGTTGACTTTACGCATCTGGTGCTTTCTTTGCTTGCTGTAGTACCTGCAATGTTTTAATTTTATCCCACATAATCAATGCATGTTCAATGAGTAGCGAAATACATCACTTACAACTGAGATTTGCCTTGTTTCTTTGATTGTTTTTTTAACGGTGGATGAACATTTGGAGAATCCAACAACATTAAATCTTTCCATATTAGTAAATTTCAGAAACAATTTAGCAGTTAGTATCTACGTTGCCCTTATGATATTCAATTTCATCCCTGCAAATTCGGCAAAGTGAGGCGAAATGTTGGATGTGAATATCCACAAGACTAATAAAGTTGTTTTGGCCTTGAAGAGAAAAAAGGCAAAGGCTCGTACTAATGCGAAAAAAAGTAATAACACGGCTCTGTGAGAAACCCGGGAGTGGAAAACGTACGTGTTTTGGACCTCGGAATTCAAAAATTGTCTACCAAAATTCTAGGTTGTCTACCATCCCCACATTCAACATGATAAAAGCTAATCGATATGACAATCGAGGAAAAATATCTAGAACTTCATAAAAAATCTGTGATTCGAAAAAATAATAGACACTTGTTCACCTACCTTGAAAACCAACCAAAATCTTGCCTATACATTGCGTTGTTTAAAGGATAAAAGAAGAAATAAGCCACAAAATGTGCTGAATATTTCACGAGACACTTCCAATATGGCTTTCGATACACTGTCCACTTAAAAAAATTGTGTATGCCTCATGAAAAGTCTTTAAAATATGCCTGAGAATCTCGAAACGATGACTGATTCTGTCCGACTCTGTCCGTTGTTTTGAAAATTTTTGATCACTGAGGCGATGTTTTGATTTGTTTGTTGATAAACACAAGCACGCCCTCTCATTGGTTGAAAAGTGTCGCGTGACCAGTTGGCCCTGTCCTTAAATTTGGGATATTCCGGACTGTACATAAGTGAACAGTAAGATAGTTCATTTTGTGATACAACTGTAGCTGTCATCATAAAAATATTGTGATTACTGTACACTTAAACTTTTGTGATCAGTCTTGTTTTAAGTACTAACGCATTCCCTAAATGGTGATTAAATCTGGGTGACCCCCCCCAAAATTTATTTCGCGTCCCCTGGATACTTTTATTTCCCTGTTACAATAAAGATTGTCGAAATTTCAAACTCCACGCAAGCATGTGGACACTTAAAGTAGTATCAAATGACACTTCAATCAAAAATTACTCATAACTACACAAAATATTTTATTATGCAAATGTTTTGACAATCAAGTAAAGCTGAAGTCAAGTTGTCTAGTAGTGATGTCAAGAGGAGATAACATTGGCGAATGGTTAATTCAGACCTCCCTGGGGAGTTTGGAACTTAAAGAGATGGCTGAAATTCAGGCTACACTGTATAAGGTCCGGAGTGATCTTCACTAAAACACCACACAGGCACATTTGGGTAACATACGGGTAACATACAGGTAATGTAAGAATACTTGAATAACATACGGATAAATGTGAGTCACACACGGATACATACAGGTAATAAGTACATGTAGCTGACATGCACGGAAACCCGCATGAAACCTATCTTTTGCAGTAGGGAGATGTGCTCTTTAATTGTTATGGCTGAGGAAAAGCTGTACACTGTATAGCGTTGTGAGTATATAGGCTGATAGTTGACATTGACTAAAAATGGAAAAAACAGACATGTTTTTGGTTCCTGCTGCCGCATATATTAAGTTTAACACTCTTTAAAATAGCTTTTTATGTAGATTAAAAATAATGCTTTAAACATTACATTAGATTCCAAGGACCGCTACTTTTGAGTAAGCCGTTACTTTCAGAATTCAATAGGAAGGTAAAAAGTAGATGTTATGTTCAGGTAGCCCTTACATTAGCAGGAACCATTACTTTCGGAATTCTACAGTAGAATGTAATGCATAGTATGCAATGTACTGTGTAGCATTTTATGAGGTCACTTAGGAAATAGACCCTTGTGCCTGTAATAATAGATTCTTCCACATTCTTTTTAACTTTTGACTGGGACTAGTAAGGGAATATCCATTGACACTCAACTGGCTTCTTTCTGCACGAATTTGCCCCTCAAAATACAAAAGTCTGTAAATTTCACAACTTTGTGGAGCTATACCTTCATTTAGTTTTCGACAAAACACTTTCAAACTTGTCAACTTTACTGATTTTAAGGTGTTTTTTCTAGTCAGGCCTTCTGACATTTCGCGGGGTCGCGGAGCCGCAAAATTCAGGTAAATCCACGAAATTCACAAAAACACGCAAAATACCGCAAAATTCGCTAGAAATCTTATCAAATACATGTCTGTACCATATTTTTGAAAATTGTCTCAGCTATTTACTTGCCGTAAACTTGTAAATTTATCTTGAAACTTTGTCACTGTAATGTGCGAACAACGTCCTGAAACTACCAGGCTTAGATTATGTTGTGAAAAACTGGGCACTAGCCATGATGTTAAAGGCTTTGCCATTGGTTCATTTCTGGAGCGTATGGTAGTTGAAAGAGCAAATGATGACCTCTGTCAGAAAAACATTAAAAACCCTGGTCTGATCAGTGCAAAACCGATCGATTTCTAGTGAAAGTTGCCCCGAAAATAACCACAAAATCCGTCGTTTTTTTACCAGTTGCTCTTTGGCCAAGTTTGCCCCAAAAATTCCCGCGAAATCGGCCCATTTTTCCATGATTTTGTTCCTAAAAATTCCGTGAAATTTGACTTTTTTTCCTCAATTTACCAGAAGCCAGGTGTCTAGTTGTATTAATGGATTTTTGCTTAACTGGTCCCAGTCAAGAGTTGAAAAAACCATGGAAGGGTCTTCTATTCCAGGCACAAAAAGTAGTTATCTGCTCAAGAACTTACTTTACTTTCTTCTTTGGTTGTTGGCCATCATCATCTAGTGCATCTACTCCAGCCCCACTGCCATCATCCCTTTAAAAAACAGATAGGTATACAGTAGGTGAATAAAAATCATCTTCAGCATGATCAAAATGCTTGCAAGTCTGTGTTAACAAGTGTACAATGCTAAAGACATGTACACAACATTCCAAAGGTAGGATTTTTATGTAAGTAACTTGTTTTTTTGTGCTTATATCTGTACTTTATTTTGCAAGAATTCAGAAGCCACATTTCATACTTCTATTTTTAGGTCTAAAACCCAAGGTGGAGTGTATCCAGAACAACATGGAAGGCGGAATTAGTGATGGTTTGTATGGAAGATAATTCCAACAGGTTTTGGCTGAGGTTGTACAAAGCCTGTTAGGGCAAATAATACTGACAAGTGACATGGCCTTGAAACAGCGACATAGCACAGAAGAAATAGCGACAAATGACACAAAGATGGGTTAAAGATGCGACAGCGACATAGAAAAGCACAAATACCACAGTGAAACATCAACAGTGACATGGCTTTCCTCTAAATCATAAGTTATCATTTATTATAATATGCAAAACATCAGGTTTTGAAATTCATATGTAACACCCCTAAGAGGGCCTATTTGTACATGTATCTTAGGACGATACTGGAAACTTCAACCCTTCTACACAAATAGCATAAGTTGACACCCTCCCTGCTCAGTCAACAAGATAAACTGAGCACGTATCCTAGCCTGCATAGCTGGCGGTATTGTGTGGGTGCGAGATTAAAGTTTTGGCGGTGGAGCCGTGTTCCAAAAAAAGGGAGTAGGGACGAGGCGGTTGAAATACCGCCTGCCAGAAAACCCCGGTATTTTGAATAGTCCGCACACCAGTGTGCGGGGAAATGGATTGGTCGAGGGCCATACATATGTCAATCATGTTAGATGAGCCTTCGCATATATTTCCCAATTTAGGGAGCAGATGGCAAACTGAAAAAGACGTACATGTAAAGTGATTGTGATTTCCGCTTTAAAAAGAGCATAATAATGGCGTCTTTAAACTTCACAGCGCTGGAATTGTCTTTATTTAGCCGTAAGAAACAAAGGTCAAAGAAAATTAAAATGCTATACAACTGCATCTGAGATCAAGTCCTATCAGGAACACCTACAGAAGAATAAACCACCGGAAATGGTCACTCAGTATGCATGTAACAAACCAGCTTCATGACCTTTTAATGTTAAGCCTGGTGTTGCTGAAAAAGATTTACTCAGTCAAAGTTTAGAATGATACATGCACTGTGTAGTGCTAGTAACCTTCGCGCGAGAGCCGAGAAAATAAAAAAACCCTCTGTTCAAGCAAACACACAATGTCACGTTTCACATTATCACGAGCTTAGGAGTCGTGCTTAGTCTGTCAACGCTTATTTCTAAACTGTCTCGCGCGAAAATAATCGGAAGTTTCAAATTGCAGGTTTCTCTTTGACTGGCTGATTTTTAAAATATGCCATTAGCTAAGGTGACAAAAGTGGGCGGCTTTCGAAAAATCATGGTTCTCTGGCAGGCGGTATTTCTCGCGACTTCGCCGCTCGTGACGGCTCCGCAGTCAAATCTCACTCAACGGCTCCGCCGCCAAATCTCACTCGACTACTACATAATACCACCAGCTATGCAGGCTACACATATCCCCCAGGCATTGATCAAGTAAAAACCATAAAAAAGCTGGCAGCTAATCACAACAATGATGATGATGATGGTGATGATGATGATGATGATGATGTTGGCAACAAAAATGACAGTGGTGGACAGTTGGCATACGAAACAGAATATTACTCTCTAAACAATAACATCTATACAACAGCATTGTTTAGTCATTAAGAAGTTAAGATTTACACGTACATGTATTTATAGTTATAATCACACTAAAACTATTATGAATGGCATAATACACACATCTCACACACACAGTTTAGATGACCTTTAAAAAAAACAAAAAAGGTCAAGTTTAGGAAATTTAGGAATTAACACATCGCAATGTTTACCTCAAATATGTAGATCTAATTAGATCAACAACACGTCTGCACTGGCAATAATCGAGTTTATATAAAACCATATCGTTAGTTCAAACCTTGATCAATTATAGGTCTTAGGATCCAAGTTATTAAGTTTCATTACTATTAAAGACAAAAGATTTGGATCGAAGGATACGTTCTGCTGTTTCCTGATTAAAGTGGACAAATGCGAATCGAGTGGGACGTGTTGGTTATTAGATACATTGTCAAAATGTTGTTACAGTCTGACGAAATGAGTCAAAGGTTCAAACTTATGAACTTCATTTCATCAATTCTGTTCGGGTCATGAGATTTGATCTAGGACTTAGAAAAGGCTCGAATAAAGTTTGTTGACCATTCCGGTTATATGAGCTTAAGTAATTTGGATTTGTGAACCAACAAACCTAGGTTAGTCCTTACCCGTTTTCTGCAATTTCGCTCATGGCGTGGACGTAGAGTTAAATCCTTATTTAGCTGTCAAACAGTTCATAGATCCCAGTCATGGTACCAAAGAAGCAGCAACATTCTCTCTAAGAGAGCCACAGTTCGCTGACCTTGATCGTCAACAAGCACAATTTACATGAAAGGTATCATTTGAATTAGCCAAGATGGCCGAACAACAACACGAAAACACGCTTAGCAGCTGTGACAGCAAGACATCCTTACATGTGAAATTCCAGCCAAAATACAGAAACGGATGAGATCCACAAATACTGCCAGCCCGAATCGTAGTCTATGGTAAATAAATTTCGCACCATAAATAACGACACGAGATTATCAGACAGATCAGAGCACTCAGTCACTGCTGAAATTCGCTCGTGAGTCATTCGGACGAGTTCGGCATGACTCTCGGCGCTCGGTAAGTTTAAAATCGGGAAGTCTTGATAGGTCCCAATCCCTCTCCACTTTCACCATGTGGAAACAGAGCATGGCCAAATTTTGGCTAGGTCTTTTAGAAAGATTTGCATGACACATTTTATACATCTGTCTTATTTATTCAATTAACCGCCCTGGGCGCTTATTAAATTTTTGGACCTTGAGAGTGGGCGCTTATTCGAGGCTGGGCGCTTATCAAATTTCCACTATTTTTAGAAAGTGTAGTATGCTTATTTTGTAACAAATCAAAAAAAGGTAATAACAAAACGCGAAGATGTAACAAAGCAAGTCTCTGTAAAAACTCTGAAGAAAATTCCGTCTTCGGGGAAGTCTGTTATTAGTACTTATTCATTTTTGTTGGGTGGGAGGGGGAAGGGGGATGGGTTTTGGTTGTGGGCGGTTATTTGAGTTTGAGTGGAAGGAGGAGGGGTGGGCGCTTATTCGAGGCTGGGCACTTATTAACTTTTCCTGCCTTTAGGATGGGTGCTTATTAGAGGTGGGCGCTAATTCGAATAAATACGGTATATGGAGCAGGAGCTTTCAACAAACCCGTACGAGCTTTACGAAGAGAGCCCCTGTTGGCAAAAATCTTTTTCAGGACTTTTTAAAGTAGAGTGGGTGGCTCTTCTTCTTCCCTTCTGCCAAACTAAGTAGGGGTTCTCAGAGGTACACTCGCTTGTAAGTCCCAGCCGGTTCGGTACGTTTGAAGAGTTGAGGAAGTCACGTGACTGCGTGGATATAGCTTCAGATACTGTTTTGCCCTAGCCTCCTTTTCTTTGGCCTATGCGTAATTTCTTTGTTTTTTTCCATTTTGCCTTATTTTGTTTTGTTTTTTTAAAGGGAACAGTTTAATAACGTTCTACTTGTCACTACAAGAGAGACTGGACTAGTACTAGGGGATATATCAACGCACCTACTTTATGTCCAAAAGGTTCCCGGTTGCTAATTTTGATAGAAGCCTGATCGCAGGTAGCCTGCGAAAACATCCGTTTCTCCTCGCTCTTCGTAGCTGGGGATGTTTCGCCCAAAACGTCCCCAGCGGCGAAGAGCGGGGAGAAACCGATGTTTTCGCAGGCTAGATCGCAGGTCAGAAATCGGCTTGTGGCTTTCTCACTTCTCGTTTCTCCGGCAGTTTCCGGTAATACAAGTACTTGAACAACACTAGCAAACTATATATTCTGTCTGTCAGGAACCTAATTGGCTCCTGGTCCGGTATATCTCCCTGTTCTACGGTCCACTGAGGCAGCTCGAATACCCACCCGACCCACCTCCCAACATACCCCTCCCGCAAAACTGGCCGCGTTAGACTCAGTTCCAGGCCTCACACCAGCCGACTACAAAATGGCCGCCACGATGGCCGCACAGTTACCAACGCAAGGAAAAAAAGGAGACGGTAAGCTTCATCTTTCTTCATTAATTTTACCTGGAGGATTTGAGAGCGCAGTTTGTTTTGAAATTGCTTGCGATTCATGACTGTTCGACGGTCCTCAGTTGGGTCTTACTCTTACTCTTGCATGCGATGAACTCGTTTCGTCTTTCGCGCGGCGGAATGATCATGAAAGGACCCCTGAAAGGGAATGGTAAAGGTCAGACATTTTTAAGCTGACATCCATGTTTATGCCTTCCATTTTATGTTCATCTGTATAAATCTTTTGAAGCTTGGTGGTTTGAAGTGTTTGTTGCCCGCTATTAAGTGGCATTAACATTACTGAAGGTTGTTTTTCGAAGTTTTTATGCCCAAACTAAACTATAAGCCTTACCTTGATGGTGTGAAAATTTGGAAGGAAAGAGACTTTCGTTTCACTTGAATACATGTATATCATCAACATTGGAAACTTCAACATGCAATCCCCCAAATATTCAGGTCCTTTGTCGCCATTTCTCCTGTCTTATGTTACGACACAACCCCCCCCCCCACCCCACCTAGTAGCCTCTGTGCAGGCATTTGATCTTTTGAGAAATTTCTTGTTCAAATTTTCTCTGAATCTTTGATCTCGTCAAGTAGTATTCAGGTACCCAAGGCACTCAAGGAATATTCCACATAGTTCCCTTTACTACATGTAACTATGTACGCAAGTGGTATTGATCATGACTTGAGGCAATTTGTTCAAATCCCCTACTGATCGATTAGTGTCAAATTTCCCACACCAGTACTAACCACTGTTTCAGCCTGCAGAATGTACTTGATCGAAACATTAAGTAGAACTTGAAAGCAGCTTACGATTTAGTCAACTCCCATTATTGCGTACACCCAGGGGACCGCGGTTTAGTCTCCATAATAGCAAGAGTTCATAATAATGGAGTGCGAGAAAAAATTTCTTGATATTAGAGGAAGTACATTTATTTATATTGTACATTGTCTCCAGAACCAACTGCAGTGCAGTTTTCGCATGTAAAGAGCATCAGGACTTTCTTTACAAACAGAACAAACCGGTTAGCCGGGTGGGTGGCCTGCTTTACTGGGCTTGCTGGGCTTGTGCCTTGTTTCCTGACTTATAAAATTTTTGTTGTGTTTATATGAGAAGGTGGGTTGGCCTAGCTTGCAGAGTTCCAAGTTGCTCGAGCCCAGCTCACTTCATGTAAACAGGCCCTCATTGAGTGATCTAACCCTCTGTCTATTTAATTTCCAACAGATTATTTAGCCAACCTGCAAGATAACCCACCCAGCCCAGGAGAGGTTGGCCACACCACCAGGGTTTACGACCCCTACTCTTTTTGAACAGTGGTGTGGGTTCTTTTACGTCCCACAAGAACCAGATAAGTGAAGGTGCTGTGGGACACGACCTACGGTTTTTCGTCCTTATCCGAGAAGACTATTAAGTCTAACCGTTTGCAGATGTCATTGCAAAGGCAGCAGTTTCTCCTCAGTTATTTTGAAGACCCTGAGTGTTGGTCCAGCCGGGGTATCATGAACCCGCGACCTCCCGTTCAGCAGACCGGCGCTCTCCCAACTGAGCTAACCAGGCGGCGACTTATTGCCCCCGTAGGGATTTCCGCCAGAAGGCGATATCCCGAGGAGGCACTCTAGTAACTCGCGCATATATTAATGAAAGTACTTACAGTTGAAATATACAGTCGGTATGATGACGTTTCTATTGTTTGCGCCCGCAAGTAGGAAATGGTTAGGATGACGTAAAGACAGAAAATCCCGAAGGGACCGCTTAGGTAGATTTTGTGACATTTATTGTTCAAAAGAAGGTTGAGTTTGATCGTCCGGGTGAACGTAGTCCTGAATAGGACTGTTGTTGTTGACAGTGACTGACGTTTCGACAACCTGTGCGGTAGTCATCTTCAGAGTCAAAGTGAGTTGTATCACGTTAGTTGATGGTATTATACTCTGGTTATTGATTTGATTAGTCAATTACGCCGTGATGTTACTGGTCGTCTGTCAGTTAAGCCCTGACGTTATTGGCTATGAAGACTCAGGGGCACCCAACGAGGATATAGTTCAAAACCACTTAACATAGCATTGTTAAACGTATTTTAGTATTCAAACGGTAGATATAGGCATATTTTTATCCCCTAAAAACTTTTCATCTGTTCGGATTTCCTAGCTGAAAGTCTAGTGATCCGAAAATTATAGGGATAAAAACTTACCTTCTCGAAAATTTCAGCCCGGAAAAGGCTCCCGAAAATTCTAGGTGGCCTTTTTTAGGGTCAAAATCCGTTAAAAATGGGTAATTATACAATTTTGTAGATGTTCGAAAATCCTAGGAGAGGCAGGCAAGCAAGAAATTTTACAACAAATGCTCTGAAAATTCTAGATCTCAAATCGTCTTCCGAACAGATATTTTCCCGAAGATTGCCGTTGGGTGCCCCTGAAGACTCGTAGTCAGTAATTGGTACGTTTCGATCCGTCTATTGTCACAGTTAAACAGTCGTCTATTGTTAGTCAAATTGTCATTCTCTCGTAGTTAGTTTTGCTTGATCTCGTCAATAAGTCGTTTGTACGGCGCTGGTAACTGTTGGCTACGATTCAGTGGCGTTTGTGCTAAGTTAGTAAACCAGCTTTCTAAAGTAAGACGTTAACATGTATAACGTATTCTACAGACTGCTATCAACGCACTTTGACTCTGAAGATGACTACCGCACTGGTTGTCGAAACGTCAGTCACTGTCAACAACAACACTCTTTCTCTCTCTTTGACCGTATAAGACTCAGCCGCAAACAAGCAAGGCAAGTGAACAACGGCTAGCTTATCACTAGCAGAACGATGGACGATTACAGAAATTCGCCGACAATCAAATTCTGTGCTGACTTGTTCCCTGCTCACAGATGTCCTTCCGCTATAAAGTTTAAAATAAGACTAGAATGCGCGAGCGTGAATTGATCAAACGTGCTTTTAATTTCTAACGCTTACTTTCCGGCAAATAAAATGAACTGAATGTAGAAAGGGAAAGAGAAATAGCCAAAAATTTAACTTCTAATTAAATCTTTTCTAATGGTTTAGAATAAACTGTTCTAGAAACTGAGAATGTTTTGATCAAAGCTGTGTAAATCGAACTGAAACTGTGCATGAAACCTTGCGTTTCCTGTATTTATCTCACCTATTGTATGGAATATGTGTGAAAATCTTCATTATGAATCGGTATATTTCAAAGAGCTACACAACGAGCAAGAATACTATTGACCGACAATAAACAGAGCGGGGGCAGCTGTTGTGTCAACTACTACTAGATGGAGGAGAGGATTAAGAGATTAGGATGTGGGTGGAGAAGATGGAGTGGAGAACTCTTTTAGGTCAGAACCAGGGGCATTGAAAAGTTTAGCAGGGCTGTAGACCAATGTGCGTTTTCCGGAGTTGCTATGTGGGTATGGCAACTTAAGGTCGTAAATAGAGGCTCTTTTAAGACTCGCCGCTTATTTAATGGAGAAT